CTCTCCGCCGCCGCCGCCGCCGCGTCCCCTCCCCTTCCCCTCTTCCCCTCCCGGAGACCCACCAGGGCGCGTAGAACTCGACCAGGGCGAGGCCGCGGTCGGCCAGGCCGCTGTCGAAGTCGTCGTCGCCGAGCTCGATCACGTCGGAGGCGCGGCCCGGCCGGGGCACGAGGGCGAGGAGCAGGGCGAGCAGCAGCGCCTCCATGGGCCCCATGGGCGAGGAGAGCGAAACCAGCGGGGCGGCGAAGGCAACGGAGGAGGACGAGGAGAAGCGGCGGCGGCGGCTCCTTTCGCTTTCTCGGGCACTCGCCGCAGCGGGAAGCTAAAGAGGAGCCGGAAGTCCCGCCCCCGCCGGGAGACAGGCCGGATCTGCAGTGTGGCAGCCGGCCATTGGCCGGCGCCCAGAGGACACGGACCAATGGGGCGCCGCCGTCGGTCAGCGAGCGAGGGTGAACGGCTGCCGTGTCGTCGCCATGGCGACCTCCCTGGGCCCATAAGCGGCGGCGAACCCGACGGCCTGGCCGGGGAAAGGCTCAGCCCGGCCCCGAAGCGGGTCCCCGACGCTGCCGACGCCGACGCCGCCGGAGAGCCGAGCCAGCTGCAGGCTGCCTTTCCGCGGTGCCTCCTCCTGCCTTGGGCCCTCTTTTAAGGAGAAAGGCAGGGCAAACATCTTTTAAGCAAATAAAGGAGATTAGAAACTCTGCGTTCATTTTCTGTCTGTATGAAATGCGTGCAAAGCTCACTTGGGAAGGAAGGAAGTCCTACACAATCCCTGGAAAACTGAGCTCATTTGTACCTTTCCTTTCAGGGGGAGAAGAGGACTGCTCCATGCTGTGACTCGTTTCTTTCTGGCTCACCCTCTCTCTTCACCGTCCCTTCCAGGCCTTTTCCCCTTGTCGTGCCTGTTTCCTGCCTATAGATTCAGCATTTAAAAGAAGCACCCAGAGGTGCTTGGTTCTGCCACTTCCATTTGCACTTACTAATTTGGTGTTGGTCGGGACTCGGCCTTGTTGGCAGTCCTCCTGGGAAGGAGCCAAGCCACCCTGAAAGAAATGTTTCCCATTCGTGGACAGTCATTACAGGATGAGGCTTTGTGGCTTCAGGTGCTCTCAGACAAGAAATTGTACCTTTTAGAGCATCTGTGTACCTTGTATTACAACTGACTGGGGGGGGCACAAATGGCACCATCCCACACACACACCCTGCTTAAAGTGGTGAGCCCCCACCCAAAAGGAGAGAGGCAAATGCAATCCCTTCCAAAAGAGGGGAGGGGGTCAGTGGACAGGATGGGGAGGGTACTGTTGTTTGTTTTCCTAACCAGGAAATTTCCTTCTCAGGTTTGGTGCCCTGAGGCAAAGACCCAGCTCGCTGCACTGCGCTAGTCAAGAGACCTGCAACTTTCTCTTGGTAGCAAAGCAACTTGTGTAAGAAGCAGCAGGGACAAAACATACATCTCAGGATATCTGAGCAGCTGCTCTGTGTGACAAAAGAAGGCAAGGAGAGCTTCCTAGATCTGCTCCCATTTACAAGGTCAGGGAACAAGAGGTGGGGCTTCCAGTGTCAGCCTAGCCGCCAATCAGCAGTTCCTACCAGCAGAGGACACTGGAGTCCCAACCAGCGCTGGGTGTCTCTTCCAACAGCCATCTTCACATACCCCTCCAGTTCCCACCCCTGCACACTCAGCTGACTGCAGGGTTGGGAACCTGGGGGAGAGGGAAGATTCAAGTTTCTTATCACCTGGCTAAAGTACAAAAATGCACAGCGCTTCCATTTGCCCGTCTAAGGTGATGGAGCGGGAAAGCAAGAGCCAGAAACAACTTTGTTCCAAACAATCCTATAGAAATGAGATTTTTAATAAAAACAATGAAAGGCATAGTCATCAGGACCCACTTCCCAGAGTGGAGGAGGATGGCTCTGTCCCTTCAGTCTCAAGATGCTGCAACCTGGGAAACTGTCCAGGTGGAAACCCTGCCCCAGCAGGTTATTCCAAGTCCTCGGCCGCCTTAGCCCAGGAAGCGCAGCGCAGCCATCCCCGAGAAGCCCAAAAGCACAGCCAAGACCTTGGGCAAGCGGCTGGCAGGAGTGTGCAGCTCCTGGGGCAGGATTTCCAGGAAGGTGATGTACATGAAGGTCCCAGCGGCTATTCCTTCCAGCACACTCCGGGCCGCGCTGCTGCCCGCCTCGGGGCTGTGTGTCATCACCATGCCCACACTCATGCCCAGCGGGCACATGAGCGCAAAGGTGACGAGGCAGGCGGCCACCCACCGGGAGAGGGGGGGGGTCTGCACAGCACACTCCGGGCCGCGCTGCTGCCCGCCTCGGGGCTGTGTGTCATCACCATGCCCACACTCATGCCCAGCGGGCACATGAGCGCAAAGGTGACGAGGCAGGCGGCCACCCACCGGAAGAGGAGGCGGCTCTGAAGCAGCAGCAGGGCCAGGCTGAGGGCTATCACGGTCTTGTGAAGCAGGATGGCCACCGCCAGCTGCAGCACCTTGGCCTCCGTGTCCTGCAGGCCGATGGCCAGGCCCTCAAACACGGAATGCAACGAGAGGGAGACGGTCAACACCAGGGAGCGGAAGGGCGAAGGAGCTTCTGTGTCCAGATCGCACTGAGAGGTGTTGGCTTCTGGGTGGCTCGCACGGGGCAAGAGTGGGAAGGAGGCCTCGTCCCCGTGTTGCTCGGTGCAGTCCAAGATCACGTGCTCCATGACCAGAACCAGGAGGAAGCCAAGGGCCAGGATGAGTTCAGGCATGGGGAAGTCGGACTGGAAGGAAGGCAGAGAAGGGGAAGAGAGTGGCAGCTGCTCCCCCGCCCCACTCCCCTCCTTTGGCTGAGCCCCAGCAGTTGCAGCTACTGTGTTCCAGGAGAAAACCCAACTGAGTTGTGGGAGGCAGCAGGACACACCCACAGGCCCCGGTTCCCTCTGCCCCTTGTTTCCTGGGCAAAAGGGGTGAAGGCTTCCGGAGGGAAACTGTAGGGGCTTCCATATGGCCTCACCCTGATCGCCTTTCAGGAAGCTCCTCCTGACCCCATTTAGGTTGCAAGGGAGAGATGGTTTAGCTAAAATGGGGAAGCAGGGATAGCAGCTGGGGGGGGCAGGTCTTCGTTCAGGGCCCCCCCTTCCTTTCCTTCGTTTGCACACAGGATCCCGGCAGGGAGCAGCGGCAAAAGCCCAGCCCAGCTTGTTCCCTTAGGAGGAGGAGGGCCCAGGCTGGCAGACCTCGGCCGCCGCCGCCGCCGCCCCTGCCCCCTCCTCTAGGGCCAGAGGGGTCCCAACCCGCCGCCGCTTGGACAAAAGGCTCCGCCGGCTCATCTCGTCGCGCAGGTCGGCCAGCGAGTCGGGCATCACGTCCAGCAGGCAGGCGCCCAGGAAGACCCCGCCGGCCGCGCAGGTCACGATGCTCTGGCCGCTCTCGGAGAGGCCTGCCGGGGGAGGGGAGGGAAGGAGGAAGGGGTCAGGGTTCGGCCCGCCAGCCCCGCGGCTCCGGCCCCCCTGGCCCGCCCGCTCCCTCTCACCCACCTGTCCGGAGGGAGCCGCGGAGGCGGAGGATCGTGGCCGGGAGGAGGCCGCCCAGGAGGGGCAGCAGCGCCAGCGCCACCAGGCAGCCCAGCTTCA